TTTTTCAAGTAACTTGACCAACACTGATGGTGACTCACATTTAGGTTGCCTAGCTGTACTATACTGTAAATAAAAGATGGACGGGTACAGCTTTAATCCTTGTGATGACCTGCAGGGACCCACAGCTGCACTGCTCATCTGATTTATAATCCAAGTAATGACATCGGATGAGTTTATTGTCAGTTAAATCTACACTGTTTCAAAACAGACAACCCCAAAACACGACTGTTGTTTCACTAGTTTTGCATTCGACCAGGGTCAGTGTCACTGCTCGTAGGCGATCCTTCACAGGTGCCTTCCTGTTCTTATGAGTATAGATATCCAGCATGACTTTGATCCTTGTTGAAATCTGATGTGTTGTTTTGAGCAGTGTAGAAGGAAGTGGTCAAACGCACCGCTGTTTTCCGCTCTCTCTCCGTCCTGCAGAGTTGTGGAATGACGGATTGCACTCACGGAAGAACAAGAAAAAGGACCCGTTCTGCCCGGTGAAGAAGAAGAAGCCCGTTGTTGTTTCTGATATCCTTCGCTGCTGTTCTGTCCTTGTCTCATTCATCTCCACACACAGACGTGCTGTTTTGTTTGTTTTTCCTGTGTTTTTCCTCAACTTCTATCACGGCCTTATATTGTTTACATGCTGCAAGACCTGGATATCCTTGAAGACTGGACTGCAATAAGAAAGGTATTCTTCTGAAAGCAGAGTTTGTCACCTGCTGAATGTGTCCACGCTGTGATTTAACCTTTCAAGTTGTGTCTGTGTCCTCCCCTCCCTCACAGGCGATGGCATCACTGGGGCCCCACAGGGTGAAGGTGGATGGTAAGAGTTTCTCCTCGTCCTTGGTTACAGTCGATACCTGGCTGAGTGTGGCGATCGACCCGCACTTACACACGAGGGGTTTTGACTCAGTACTTTGTGCTCAGAGGAGACTCCCTCCTTTTTTAGAAGACTTTGTATTTCTTTTAACCTTACTCTTTCCCCGTCGCTCGTCTTGAAACCTCTCCATCTCTTCCTCTCTTTCCTGCTCCTTCTCCAGTGCCTGCAGTAAAGCCTGACAGACATCACCACGTGGCACGCTCCGAGGACGGTCGACTTTTCTATGACAACCAGTGGTACTCCAGGGGACAGGCCATCTGTATCAACAGGAAGGACGAGTACCCAACTAGGTGTGTGGGAAGGGGGTTTATTGGAAACAGCTTCTAGTATGAATTGTGAATGCGTGTGCGTCTGCTCGTGACACAACGTGCAAGGCTACGTGACTGAATGGCTCTCCAGTCACATGCTGGGGAGACAATGTGCCTACGAGGCTGAATGTTTGTGGCTGCACATTCTGCATCCCGCCCCGTGTGCCGTCTGGAAAGGATGCGCTGTCAGCTGAAGGCACGCAGTGATGCCACATCACCTCCCCCTCGCTTTTACCACCACCACTGAGTGGCGAAACAAGCAGGTGGCTGTTATGAGCAGTTAGAGCTGTGATATGGCAGCCATGCACACCAGACAATATACCCCAGGGCAGCTGTGGCTACAACTGTAGCTGCCTCCACCAGTGTGTGAATGTGAGAGTGAATGAATAGTGGAATTGTAAAGCGCTTTGGGTGCCTTGAAACGCGCTTTATAAATGCAAACATTTATTATTATTATTATTATTACAGGTAATGTACTTAAACTTATACAAATACACAGGGGCCAAGTTAAGTATTAAGAACTGTAACAACAAATGCAGCTGTTTTCTGCAGATGTGTTCCAGCACTGAGCTCTTGAACTACCATCTTCAGCAGGCCGAGGACGACAGTGTAGTTGGAGTAGCTCTGACCATGTGATGTTGAAGCAGCTCAGTAATGAACCTGAACATCACTTCTCTGTCTGTAGTAGAAACTCATTTGTTTTATGCAGGTGTGAACAAATTCTTCCTGTGTCTGCCTTTCACAGAAAAGATCCTCAACATATCTGCTGCACTGCAGTCACAGAGGAAGCTCTTCTAATAAAGGACTGAATGAAACGTTTTACAGAAGGATGATGAAGCAATTTACAATCAGTTAAACATCTGGTCCTTTTTTAAACCCTTTACCAGGGTTAGAAATGACTAATCTACAGTATATTCCATTTCCAGAGCTCATGTAACAGTAGTAGAGTAACAGGATACTGCAACAGTGACAGAAGTATAAGCAGTTTGATCCATGTGTAGAATGAATCGTGTTTCCAGTAATGCTGCAACAAGGAGCAGCAAATGAGCTGCTGAAATAAAAGGAGGAGAAGTGCTGACATGACCAACGCTGCTAAAAACAGACACCTGATATACAGCTATTAATTAACTGGTCAAAACATCAGAAGGATAAAATGTTCATGTCGTTATTTAGGTTTTAGTCCTCCTGTGCAGCTCTGGACTCGCAATGAAACAGTTATTTTTGTTCTCCTGCATCATGTAGACACCTGAGGCTGCGTGTATGAAACGCTCGTATGTTTGCAGCTCAGATCTGTGAAATCCAAAGTGTGGACACACGGCCTCAGATTTATAAATCTGTGTATCCTCTTTGTTATTTTAGATTTAGAACTCATTATTAAACGTATTAAACCACAAATTAGGCCACTACTTATTAAATCGTTCTGCCAGTTTTATGGTCAGTTTTCTTCATTCTTCACTATTATTCGCTAATGATTGGAACACAGAAGGAACCCAATGATAACAAAATAAAAACTCTTATTATTAAGTAACTGTTCATGAAATAATTATAATTTAAAAAGGAGGTTTAAATTGTATCTGCATATTAGTCCATTAAGAAGTAATATGTGTTTTTCTAACTGTCTTTATGGCCATTCAGTGGAATATATGAAATGGTTTGTTGCTGTTTCAATGCCTTAAGCTCATCTACTCGCTCCTGCTCATCCTTTTTTCAGCCCGTCTGTCCACTTGATTGTATAATGTCTGTATTAGAGCAGTGTTTTTTGGTGTTAGTGTTTTTTCTCTGCTTATAGAAAGTAATAATAATAATAATAATAATAATAATGGATTGCATTTATATAGCGCTTTTCGGGACCCCTCAAAGCGCTTTACAATTCCACTATTCATTCACTCTCACA